CAGAAAAAAAGGCTCTGCTGCCGAGCCACGGACACGGCCCTCTCTGAGAGAACAAATGAATACATATAAGCATAGCGCGTCTAGGTTTGAAATATTCACGAAGGATTATATTTAAGTAGCATCCTATGGGACACAAGGTATCTCAAGATGCTCAGAGCTAAGAAGTCATTACAACAAGGATCTTAAAACTGCTCGGTGGCTGCTGTGCTCTGGACTCTATCTCTCAAAGCTTGTAACAGGCTTGTCTGTTCAGTTCACCAGAAGTCAATGTTACAGCTAGAAAACCGCTTTAAGATCAGACTCGTGGAAGGCAGCACACTGCTTGGTTTCCTCACGTCCCACTGATGTGGAACATTAGGCTGGGAGACGGTGGACACTTGTCCACCCTTCCTCCGGGTAACAAGCAGAGCCTGGTTTCCATAGTCCTGGACCTGAGTCAAGGAGCCAAGTGGAGGTGGCTGGGTCACTACTAATTCCTGCACACAGACGCAGGGGAGTGGCTGCCTCTGTGTAGCCAACGGATCTCAGTTCCTCCTCAGGCACATGCAGAGCTGGCTCCAGAGACTAGCTCCGTCAGCCAGGAAACCCTAGGTCCAAACACACGGGCACACATGCACGCACGCACACAGGCAAACCATCCAGTCATGCCCAGTCTTTCAAGGAGAAGGCTGTCCACGATTTCCCCGGGGAACGGCAGGAATGTGGGAGGCTGCACCGCCCCGGCGTGGCCAGACAAGGAGGAACCTCGCAGCCAGCCACTTGCCTGGTTTATTCCGCACGACAACGTTCTCTCAGGATCCCACCCCTGAATGACGGACCCCACTACTGGGGTGGTGAGGCCTACCACACCTGTGGTGAGGGACCAGGGACTGTGACAGGACACTCTCCAAAGAGGTCTCTGCTAGCCATGTGTGCAATACCAGGCTGAAAAAATGCACAAAACAATTTTCATAACTTTCCTTTTAAAACTCAGTGTCTTGCTGCTGTTGATGCAAGTGCGGGCAGGCTTTTGTGGAGGTCAGAGGAAAACTTGTGAACGCTGATTCTGTCCAACTGTGGGGTCCGGGGATTGAACTCAGGTCCTAGGCTTATGAAATAAGTGCTTTCGGCACTGAATCATCTCACCCGCCCTCCTTAAGCCACAAGGAACAGAACAGCTTTGAGTCGGGGTCTCACGGTGTACCCAAGGCTAGCCTAGAACTCTCAAGTCTCCCAGTCTCAGCTTACAAAGTCTTGGGACTACAGGCATGAGCCTCCACAGGCAGCTCCGTTTCTCCTTCCTTCCCACTGCTTTTACAGCTACAGTGGCCTGCCAGCCTCTGAGAAAATGGCCTTTGGTGGCCTTTTAATTGATAAGCACATTCTGCCTGGCTTTCCTGGGCCACTGGACAAACCACACCTGTGCGTTCCCTATGCAGATGATGTGGAGTGATGGCGATCCACCCAGAGAAAGTCCGCTAATGTTTGCTGTCTGCTGCTCTGGGAAGCCTAGGGAGAAAGACATCTAGTCCTCTGATACTCCTGGCTCCATTTTTCTTCTTATATTATTAATATTTCTATTATTACTACTATTATTATTATTTTCTACCTATCACTGCCTCCCAAATGCTGAGACTAGGAACACATCTCATTCAAGATTGTGTGTCTGTGTGTCTGCCCCCAAGCAGCCCAGAGGTAGAGCCCTCTGGAGCTGGAGTTACAGGTGGTTGTGAGCCACCTGCTGCGGGTGTGAGAACTGAACTCAGGACCTTGGCAAGAATAGTAGGAGCTCTTAAGGTCTCTCCCGCCTTCATTTTCCGGTCTAAACAAACAGCACACAGTGCAATCCTTCACGAGCCAGGCCTCTCCTGGTGACACACAATGGAGGAGGCTGGGCGGTGCAAGGCACGTTAAAAGCCTCTTGGAGGTTAAAGGGCCCCGCCTCCGGCTTCCAGAACTAGAGGACTTCCCGCATTCTGATGAATGGAAGGGGTCGTACGTGCGCCTGTTCTTCCTCTTAACAACAGGAGATGCATGAAGAAAAAAAAAATGTATGCTTTATGATTCCATGTGGCCACCTTTTCCACAGCACCCTTTAACCAGCGCTATGCAAGAGGAGCCTGGAGCACATGGCTCTGAGCTAAGTCAGCCTGCTGCTTCCGCCCAGAATGTGGTTCACAAGGCTGGATTACAGCTCCCTCCCAGGCAGCAGAGGGAAATAAAGCCCTCTCTTGGGTGCTTTTGTATTCTGGGCAACTCTGAAAACCTTCCCCCAACAAGATCTAATTTCCTTCCTCCTAGCAGTCCTGTGAATTACCAGAGGGCACCAAGTCTGTCTCCAGAGCCCGACTGGCTGAGGGCTGAATCATCATGGCTGCCCACACCAGGAAAGTCTCCACTGGGTTCCCTTCAGGGCGGCTCCCAGGGCCCAGCCCCACAGAAAGAAAGTGATTTGAAGACCTGTACACCCAGGCAGCCTTTCTCATATCAGGCAGTGAGTGGCGTGGGAAGGACAGGTCCCTAACAAGACTGTGAGTTCCAGAGGTGCTCAGCAGAGAAGGACACTGCCCATTGGAGCAAGTGACCCCCATATGCCCAGGGATGCTCTCCTGGACCATACCCACACATGGCAGCCCACCATACAGGCAGAGGCGATGCCCTAGAAGAGAGCTAAGGGGGCTGGAGAGATGGCTCAGAGGTTAAGAGCACTGACTGCTCTTCCAGAGGTCCTGAGTTCAATTCCCAGCAACCACATGGTGGCTCACAACCATCTATGATGAAATCTGGTGCCCTTTTCTGGTGTGCAGGCATACATGCAGGCAGAACACTGTATATATAATAAATAAATGAATAAATCTTTAAGAAAAGAGAGAGAGCTAAGGCGTATATGAAGTTCTGAGTGAGATGTAGACGAGAACTCCTGGGTTTTTGTTGTTTTAGTTTTTCAGGGTTTTTCTGTTTTGGTCTTTTGTTTTAAAAGACGGTTTCTCAGTATAGCCCTGGCTGTCCTGGAACTCGCTCTTTTATAAACCAGGCTGGCCCTGAACTCAGAGAACTACCTGCCTCTGCCTCCCAAGTGCAGGGATTCAAGGTGTGAGCAATAAAGCTTCTCCTACACAAACAAGGTAAAAGTTTCAGCCTCAGAACCCTCCTCCAGCAAGGCTCTGGGACGGAATGGGGGAAGGGATATCACAATCTCAGAGTGAGGAGGGCTTTAGTTAGGTTTTATCATTTGAATTGGAAGTCACCCGCTCCAATATATACCTACAGGGGCCTGGTAGACAGAATGTGACAGAGGTGAATCAGGCCACTTGTTGGAATGCAGAGCTGTGGTCTTAGTCCAACCCAACCACTGGAGGCCACCTAGCACCGTGTAATGGAGCGGCCAGGCAGCTGACAGCCTCACAGGTGGCTTAGCTCACAAGGTCATTGGGCCTCCACCCTGGCATCTGTGCTCCAGAGCCACAGAGGGTATCAAAAGTAGAAGAGCTGTAAACACTTGGTTCAGGCCTAGTCTAAGTACAGTCTGCTGTGCTGGGACTTCTGTCTCCTCTTTCCATGAGATAAGCATCAGTCGTGCACTCCACCAAGGAAGAAACTCGGGAATTACAAGGGCTGAGGCATAACTCCCTGAGGCCAGGTCTCTCCAGGAGAGAGGCCGCACGTCTTGAGGTGTGGGAACGCTAGCCTAGGGCAAGTTCTCAAACCCACCTCCTAATGGTCCACGCCCAGCCTGAGATAAAGGATGGGAGCAGTCTCCAGTAGGCTTGTCACTCAGCGCCTCCCCTTCAGCTGACACCAAGAGTCCCGGTCAAGCTCTTAGGGGGAAAGAGGCCGAAGCCCCGCCCTGGCTCCACCCCTAACTAGCTGTGTGTCCTTCAGGAGGTCATAATCCTGAGTAAGACTATTTCCTAAAGTGCCAAATGAGGAGGTCTCAGGTGAAAAAAGAGTCAGCCCCCAGTCACCTGTGGCTCTCACCTGTGGATAGTACTCCTTGTCTGAATGTCAAAGTCAGGTTGACTGAACCTACCTAACCTTGATAATATCAACTCCTCCAGGGTAAGTAAAGTATACCTACAGCGCTAAAAAAAAAAAAAAAAAAAAATGTGTGTTTCCCCTACTGTCTCAGGCTATTTCTGGGAAAACATCCTGTCTAAGGTGGCAGAAAAGTGAGCTACATCTTTTAAGACCCACCAGCACATGGCACTTGACACTGGACAAACATCACTCCTAGGACCAGGTGTCCATGTGCAAGAACACGCATGTCACAGACAACACACGCCAACCCCTCCGCGCTCTTCAAGTGACTAAAATGTCTTATTTGAGCTCCTAGGCTGAGACTGCCTGGAAATTACAGCTTGGGAGGAATAAAAAATTCCATTCAGACGTGCGGTTCCAGACCTGAGGCCTATGAGCAAAGTTTCCGGTGGCCTCTGCTCCCCTGCCCACACCGGAAAGCCAGGCGGGTCACCCCGTCCTCAGATTAAGGAGCAGCTGCAACAGCTGGGAGAGCCCAGTGACAGTTTTCAGGAGGGCATCACGTTCTCCAAATGGGAACCCCAAATATGGGATGCCTGGCTTTCAGCCAGCACCCCCACCAGCTGCTCACTAACCTCCCAGGCATATCTCAGTGATCACACCTTCCCCGCCCACGGCGCGTGGACCTTTGCAAACAGGCCCTACAGACAGGCCCGCTGGTCCCCACCCAGCCAGGTCCCAGTCAGGTCCCAGCCCGGTCCCAGTCCGGCACTTCGCGGGTACCCGTCTGACATCCACCGTCCTTTTCAAGGACACTGCAGTATGCAGTCCGGCCTCAGGAAGGGGGGTCTTCAGCCAGCCGCCCAGCTCAAGAACACACACGCTCTCATGCTGACAATGCCCTGGTGAATCCCAGCGCGAGGCCTGTCGCCTGCTGTAGTCCAACCAGATGCTGCCTGGGAGAGGCTGGGGGAGGATGCAGGCGGTGGCGAGCGGATGCGGGAATGCAAGGCTGTGGCCAGGGCGGCGCCGGCGAGGCTCACCTTTTTGACTTGGTCATCCTTTAGTTCAGTGAAGTAATAGGCTAGGAGCTGCGCAGCGATCATGCTGGCGGTCGGGGATGCGGGGAAGCAGGCGTGGGGCCAGTGGCTCCTCGGTAGCCCTGGTGAGCAGTGGTCCTCCGGTGGCGGATCTGCGACTCCTCCTCCTCCTTTGGCTCCTCCCCCTCAGTCCCCGGGCGGGGCGTCGGCCTGCGCGCTCCGGACCTCCGGAGCTCCGGGCCCTGGGAGGGTGACAGCCGCCAGACGGCCCACCTCCTCAGTCCCCATTGGCTGCAACGCGCCTCTGCAGTACCAGGCTGGGACTTCCCAGCAAGAGCGGGAGAGTGACGGCTGCTCCCTCCCGCGCCGGAAAGGAGGCAGCACCCAGCACGTTCCCCACGTAGGGAGCGCACGGTCACGCGTGGCGGCACTGTGCCATGGCTGAGCGGGTGGGTGGAACGCGGTGCAGGAGGTGTGTGACACGATCTGGAGTAGACAGATCCTGGAGTATTGCCCCCGGACACTGCAGACTGAAGAGCACGAGCGGGGCCACACCCCTTCCTCGGAGATTTGGGTTCGCCCCCCCATCCCCACTGTTGGGCAAGCACACAAGTGGGCGTGGAAAGCGAGCGGAAGCCGGAGTTAGGCGGCTTCACTGATCTTGCGCTGGGTCCCTGTGCCTGCCCGCCCGTAGAGGATCTAGGACCTAAGGATGATGCACAGCATCCCATCTTAGGCCTACATTCCAAACTGCCAGAGTTCACATAGCTAAACCCAAAACTCCCGCCTCTGTCGCCCTATGCAACAGCTCTGGACTCCCCGCGAGGAATTTAGGCCCCAGCCTCCTAGCCTTCTCTGGCTCTTGGGCCTTCAGGCCCTGGGAGGTTGGGGGTACTGCTCAGGTAAGAACTCTAACATACAGAAGTGACTACCACCCTGATTCCACAGGTAAGGAACCTGACGCCCACTTTACAGTTGTGTTCGGAAGTAGAGGCTGCGTGCGTGCGTTTGCTCATCTACCACACTGGTGACCTTGCAGTTGTGTATGGCTTCTCTTGCAGGCCATATTCCTGAGAATATTCGTGCAAGCATATGATGACCTGAGGGGACAAGAGCCCAGCTTCTACCGCACACCTGGGTTTTGGGAGCTCCTGGCCTAGCATCTATGGGGGCAAAGATACTTAAGCCCCAGGACACCTTTCAAGTACCCCATGGCCCTCACAGCCTGTACCACCACCTACTAAAAAGGAGGAGCTTAGATCGGAGGCCTCCATCCCCCACCCTGCCTTAGGACAGGTGCGGTTGTGTCCTGAGTCACCTCTCTGGGTCAGATAAAGCTGAGGCCTATAACCCGTGGTTTCTGTGCATCTAATACAATAAACAGGAGAGGAGGGTAGTGTCGTAGAATGGACTTGGGAGCCTACAGGTTAAAGTTTGGGGGCCTGCCACCTGTATATCATCATTTCCCAACCCAGGGGCCTAACAGTTACATTTGAAGTAGTTTTCCTAATAGAGCCTTCTCCCCTTAAAAAAAAAAAAGATTACCTAGCCTTTGAGTCCCACGTAAATCTCAACCTACCCCTGGATAACTATAAATCAGAAACAACGGGTTTCCTGGCTGACACAAACACTACCATCATGGCCACAAGGACAAAATGGTCCTTCTGAACTGTATTTGAATCGGTAGGTGTGCTTCTGCTAGCTCTCAAGGCTGGGGAATCTGAGGATGGAGAGTTGTTTTTGTTGTTATTGTTTCTTAGTTCAGGAGGTTAAGTGGGCCACCTCTCCGAGCCCAGGGTCATGGCCCTCACCCAGCCTTCAGCTAGCTCTATCTCCCATCCTCCATACAACCCTTACCCAACAAACCAGAGGTGGGACCTCTGTCTCCCTTCCACTGTCCCTTCCCCCAGCCCACGTACCAAGAGGCTCAGTACATATGCACATATGCAAAGCCAAGCTCCAAAGGTTAGCATTGTTTTCTGGTACAACTCTAGGTCAGACCCCCTGCTGTTCCCAACACCCCCCCACACACACACACACACACTTCACCCTTCATCACCGCAACCCCACACCCTCCTCCTTTACAGTCAGAAAAGCGACGAGAACGTTTGAACTGTCTTCATGGATGCTGGCTACCCGCCATCGAAGCCATTCCAAGCTGCAGGCCACATAATTAGACTGAAAACCAACCTAATCGCATCATGTCCCTGCCCACAGTCTCTTCTGGGCCCTGTAGCCTGATGGAGCCAATTTAAATGTGTTGGCCCGGTAGCTGACCCTACTCTTTCTGGTTATCTCTTTCCTTGTCCCTGGCCACAGGAGGGCTAATCCCACTGTCTCCCGCACCCCCAAGTCCATCCCATCGTGCCCCTGTTCATATCACCTTGCTCACACATCCTTCTCTGCTCTCCCGCACCTGCCTAAGTTCTAACCAAAGGCAGGCAGGCGCATCTGGTTTTCCTTCCCTAGCCAGCCTCCCCTGACCTCAGCGACTCACCCTGGCCTCCCAGGCCCCAGCACCTCCACAGGGCACACTCGGACAGTGCTCAGAGTCCATGCAAATGGACACCAGGGCTCTTCTCTACAGACAAGGAGCCGGACGCACAACTGGTGGGCCATCTTGCCCAGTGGCGGGTTGCGGTAGAATTTGGAGCCAGGACTCCAACCCAGTTCTGATGCTCAGCCAGCACTCTGTCCACCCTACCTCACCACCTCAGGCAGCTTGGGTCCCAGATAAGCAACACTGAGTCAGGACAGCCTGCCTGATATGGATGGCTGTCTGCTGGGAGTCTTTTTTATCTGCTCTCATCAGGCAGTTTCCTGAAGCTAGCACCAGGGCTGTGCTGTGTGTCCTGTCAATTGAGCCACAGACCACCTCATGCATGTTCCTTGTTGGATTTTTTGTTGTTGTTGTTTATTTTTTGTTTGTTTTCTGAGACAGGGTCTCACTACATAGTTCCAGCTGTCCTGGAACCCTCTGTGTAGACCAGGCTGGCCTTGAACTCACAGGGTTCAAGCCTGCCTCTGCTTCCCCAGTGCTGCAATTAAAGACATGCACTACCATTCCTAGCTTTATTTTTAAGTTCTTCAGGTTTATTTTTTGTATATGAATATTTTATTTACATGTATTATGAATATATGTATGTGTGTGTGTATACCATGTATGTGCCTGGTGCTCAAGGAAGTCAGAAAAGGACATCAGATCCCCCGAAATTGGAGTTACAGATGTTTGTGAGATGCCGTGAGGGTGGGTGCTGGGAATTGAACCCTGGTCATCTCTAAGAGCAGCCAGTGCTCTTTCTGCCCCCCTCAAAAGGGTCACGATGCACAAGTTGAGAACCCTTGCCTAGACCCACAGGAAAAACTCAATCCAGAGAGTATCAGCCTCCCTGCCCCCTTCTGGAAAGGGTCCTCTTTCCCTCAAGTCCCCTGAACTCTCAGTTCATTCGCTGTGCCTCTCCTGGTACAAGTTACAGGAAGGACCAAATGATGCCAGGCTGCACTCCACCCCCACCCCCACAAACACACCTGCCTAAAATAGAGGCTGGATGCTTAGACTGTCTATTAATTTCCATCCGGCCCACAGGACTGGGTATTACTCCACAGTGATCTCCCACAGACTGGCTGATCCCCTGGCACCTGGGAGCGTACGCCTACCAGTGATCGTGTTTACACAATGTCACCAGTTTATTGAGCGGTCTCTCCTCGTGTGTTGCCTCATTTCACCCTATAACGGCCTGGAGAGGTTACGAGGACAAATACCATTATCCCCACTTAATCAGTTAGTGAGGTGTGAGAGCGGCCTGTAGGTCTCACGGCGACAGTAAGAAGCCACAGCCCAACCGTGTTTTGTGTTTCTGTGGTTTGCAACCTGACTGAGGACTTGCCCAACGAGAGCTGCCAATTCAGATCCTGGATTTCCATGGGGATGAAGAGACGGGTGGCTGGTCTGGTAAAATCACATTCTCAGCTGCTTTCCCTCTGACTGGCCCAGAGTTTTGCCCTCTGATGTAACAGGGTCAATTAACTGGAAATTGCTACGCTAAAACTATACCCTATCCGGTCTTGTTTAGCCCAGTGAGTGTTTTGTAAATACTGGCCAACACTTAGCATTTTTAGACTCCACTAAAACCCACATTTCTAGCAGCCAGGGTCTAGCCACACGTGTTGACAAAATTATGTAGCAAGGGGTGGGCGAGACAGGAGAGCAGCCACTATGCTCTTCAGGCCAGGCAGGTGCCTGTAGCCAGCCCATGCCCACCCGACCCACCCACTCTATTGATTGATGACACCCGTTAAACCATTGCTTGCTTCCATCATAAAGGGTGGGCTTGATAGGACCCCTGGCAATAGGGACGGTGTTGGGATAAAGCAAGAAGGAAATGGGGTGCCAAATTTAAGTTTTGCATGAGAATGCTGTACCCTGAAAACACCTGCCCCTCAGGTATCATGATGACTCCTACCTGCCTACTTGGCTCTACCCTGGTTGGTTCATCACTCCTTAGAGAAGGGTAGACCCCTCACATCCTCAGCCTCTATCCCATGGAAGCTGAGGAAGGCCTGGGGGAGGGTGGGTTAAACTGAAGGCCCGAGGCGCTTCCTTTAGGCACCTGTTCCTGATCTCAAGCCAGGCCTTCCCCACAGAAATCCCTGTTGGCCCAGAGCAAGTACAGGTGTCCTTGCTGACCACCCTGAGTTTCCTGGCCAGTGCTGGCCGCTCCTCTGCACACGACCACCTTCACAGAGCCAGCAAAGGCCCTGCCTCTACCCACCAGCCTTTGATTTCCTGCCAAAATATGCTAGGAAGTTCTTACACACACAGTCCACATCCATGCCTAGACAGGGTTCCCAGGGCAGGAGTGTTCAGAGCAAATCTAACAAACAAGCAAACAAAAGTTAAGTACTGGCTGGGAGGTGGTGGCGCAGGCCTTTAATCCCAGCACTCAGGGCAGAGGTGAAGGCAAGCAGATCTCTGTGAGTTCGAGGCCAGCCTAGTCTTCCTAGTGAGTTCCAGGACTATGCAGTATGTTGTATTTTTTTTTTTTCAAATCTTTTCTTTAAAACTTTTTTATTTTTATTTTATGTGCTTTGATGTTTTGCATCGAGTGTCTGGTCCCCTGCAACTGGAGTTACAGACAGCTGTGAGCTGCCATGTGGGTGCTGGGGTTTGAAATCGGGTCCTCCAGAAGAGCAGCTGGTGCTCTTGACT